TGGAAATGCCGTTAAGCAGTGCTTCAGATGGGGCGGTAAGATACGAAGGATTCATCCAGATTGGGTCCCGAATTTAAAATTACTACACTATTTGGGTCCCGAATTATTTTAGGTACTACATAAGTTGGGTCCTGAATTAGTTTAGATTTACACTAGTTCCTGAATATTTTTTGGTAAGTACTATATTATAATATCATTTTCCTTCCCATTTTAATAGACTTAGGACTGTCTATGATCTATTTAGACCACAGGTATGGTTAAAAATATTTTTATAGTTTTTTTTTGATTTTTAGTTTCTTTTCCATTAATTTTTACTTATATTATATAATGATTTTAACATTTTTTAAAATTTTTACCAACACAATTCTAATAATTTATATTTTAACGGAAAAGAAACTAAACAAGAAAAAAAAACTATAAAAAACATTTTTAACCATACTTGTGGTCTAAATAGATCATAAACAGTCCAAAGTCTGTTAAAATGGGAAGGAAAATGTTAGTATAATGTAGTACTTACCAAAAAATATTCAGGAACTAGTGTGAGACCTATAAAAATCTGGAACCCAACTTGTGTAGAACTTAAAATAATTCGGGACCCAACTAGTCTAGTAATTTTAAATTCGGGATCCAACTCGGATGCTCCGGATACGAAGTCTACAGTTAACAATGTGTTCAGCTATTGGAGACCGTTCCAGACATGGATAGTTGCTCATCTGTTATCATTTTCACAATTATTGTTCCATATATGTGTAGAATGAATAAGATTTACTTTGTATAGAATGATTGTGGTCGAGATAAGATTCACCAACTACTTACATACAATTTCAGTTAACTGCGGCAATTTAGTTTTAGTGTAGCACAGACGAAGAAGACCAGTACTTAGAATTGTATATGGTCTACTTATATAGAAACTAATAAATAAATATAAGTTGAACTATAAGACATTAATATACTTAGGATAAGAAAAGAAAATATTATAATATTTTAAAAGTGTTCCAAGACTCAGGTGAATAGGGATTTGAATGATAGCTTATAGCTTCTATGAGCTGATTATTATGTTCCATTCAGCAACTATAAGCTGATTAGGTATCCAATGGAAACTACGTAGTTATACATAGGTTAAGAAAGGATATTTTATTTATTTTTTAGAGGACCAAATAAAATATAAATATTAAAGAATATTCAGATAATATTATAAAAGTAATCACACAGTATAGGTTCAGTATTATAATTATTATCAAGAGTTACAGAAAATTGAATGTAAAAATCTTAATAAGCAAGAAATCGTTCCAAAAAAGTTTTAAGATAAAAAGTAGTGATGGATCGAACTGTTCGAATGTCGAACTGAACCGAACTCAAAATGAAAAAAAAACGAACCGAACTATTTACTATTTAGGAATTTTCGAAATTTGAACTTGAAAATATTCATAATCAAACAATCTAAAATTGATTTTCTTCAATTTATAGTTTATAGTAAATACCATAGTAGTATTAACTATTTTTTTTTTTTTTTTATATATTATTACAAATAGGTATGATAAAATAATATAATTCCATGTTGAAGTATGTGATTATTTTTGTAAATATCTATAGGTAAAATTATCACAGATTATTTTTCATATGATGGGTGATTATATGATCAAAACCACAAAACTATTTTTGGAAAAGTGAAAATGAAAAATACAAATGATGTTCGAACTCTATATTTATAAAAATTTTATCAGAAATAATAGTATTGGATGTAAATTAATAATTACTATAATTTATTATATATTTTTAGATGTATTAAATTTTGTACAATGTAAGTAAAATTTTCACAATTTCAATCTATTTATAAAAGGAAAGAAAATGATGAGTTCGAATTTTAGTTCGATAATAAATTTGAATAATTTGGCTTAATTCGAGTTCGGTTCGACACCGAAAAATCAGGTTTGAGGCATCACTAATAAAAATGTAAAATTGTGTATTTTTTAAATATTATAAATTTTTTTTAAAATATATATTATACTAATTTCAATCATTTTATTAAGCTATAAAGTATAAAATATAAATTACCCTATTACAGCTCTTTATGCTGTAATATGAGTAGTTTTAAAATTAAAAACAAAAATCCTTATGTAATTGATGATTGTGTTTATATTTACTATTATGTTAGTTTAATAGATAATTTTACAAATTTCCAACAATTTCTTGAATAATAACAAAAAACTGACATTTTTTTTTTTTTAAAATTGACTATACATTGGTTTTCGACAGTTTTTTAATTTTTAATATATAAATATATAAATAAAGAGTTTCCATAGAGAAATAAATAAATAAAAAAAAAAAGCTTAGCTAAGAGTACTGTTATATTTATAAAGTACGGCCGGTTTCGAATTAAAAATGTATTGTTAGGTATATACAAAGCCAATAAAATGGTGATTGAATATCAAAAATTAAAATCACAACTCATATATAAATATATATTTTTCCATATTCAGTCACGATTTTATTGAATTATACCTGACAATGGATTTTTAATTCAAAACCTATCATACTTTACAAATATATCAATACTTCAGTTCAGGATTTTATTTATTTATATATTCATTTACGAGTATTAATCATTTTAATAATATTTAATTTTAAATAATTTTTTTTATTTTATTATCTAATTTTTGTTTTCATGGTAATACAAAAATAAAAAAACTATGGAGAATTGAAATTTTTACTGAATACTTATAACACTATTTGTGATAGATAATATAATTTTCAAAATACTTTTTGAATTATTTATAGAAAATTTAAACTATCATATTATCCAAGATTTTTTTGAAAATGGGCAAATCCGCCACATTTTTTTACAAAAAAATTAGATACACGATTTTTTATAAGATTTTCTTTGAAGCCAAAAAAAAAAAAATCATAATTTTTGAAAAATCACAAAAAAAATTTGTAAGAGTAAATATGATATTTTACCAAATTTAAATCATATTATTATAATTTGAATCTTTGAATCCATTATTTTGAGATAAAATTGAAAATTCTTTAACAATTATTGTTTAGTACCTACTGAATAATAGATATGTAGCCTATTATTTACAGCTTTTGACAAAGTCTACACGAATATAAAATTAATATATTTTAATAGAGAGGAAAATGAGAAAAAAATAGATTATAAGAAACTTATAACATAATGCGTTATAAGGAGTTAAAAGAGTTATAAAAGGAGAATAAAATATCCTTATGTAACGAAAATATTTTCTGTTATAGTATTCAAATTTATTATATTACAAATGGTTTCTAATTTACATATTAGTATATTAAATTAATAATAAATATTCGTAAACATAATACCTCAAGGATGATTTTATGTCAAAAAAAAATATTTACTAATATATTTTACTTATGTTCTAACGCAAAATTCAAAATAAATAAAAGAAAATACCAAAAACTCATTTTAAATAAACTCTGAGAAGTATAGATCAAGTATTATGACCAGTAAAAGTTAATTATGAGTGAATATCAACACTGGAAATTCTTAAATGTCTAAAACACTCGAGTAGAAATTCATAATTACTTTTCACTTGAATTCATTGCATTTTTTTTTTAAAAAATTTTTATTTGCATTATCCATTTGTTTGCAGAAAAAAATCTGAATTAATTAGAAATATATAATGTTCGTGTGAAAATTAAATTACACTTTCATTTGATCAAATGGTTATAAATTGAAGGTAATAACAGGTAATATCAGGTAAACACTTAATAGCTTTTTGTCAGGAGATAATTTAAAAAATATTTATTTCCATTAGCTTGGCCCACCGAACGCAAACACTCTACTTGGGTTCATTTGCTTACAGTATACTGCAAAATGTTCTGAGATTAATGTCTTTTGTTTTATACAAAATATTGAATTTATAATAACTATAGTAATTAAAATATATTCTGTTTGACGCATCCGTGTACGGCATTTGTATAAAGAAATTCGAGTTACATAATTGTTCGTGCAACATATAATAATACCGTTACATTACCAGTGCGGAAGTATTGTGCGGTATTTCGTAGTTTTAAACTTGTGACTCGGTCGTACGTTGCCGGATTTCAATAAACTTGTTCGAAAACTATTATGGTCGTTGTAAATAATTTACCGGATTTCATGAAAGCACACGATTGAGATCACGCAAGCACACGTCCGAAAACTGATGTATCATCAGTGATGATCAACCGATTCACATATATCCGCAGAGCACGCTGCCGAGAGGTTTTTCGATCGTTTTTCGCCCGAGCGTTTGTGCGCGCTGCGTAAAACGTCTCGATACGAGCGAAGTATGACGTATACATGGGTGTCCGAGTGCTAGTATCAGTGGCGGATTCACGGGGGAGGGGAGGGTTAACCCTCCAAAATCAGGAAAATATATATATTAAAAATCAATAATTTTACGAATTAAGAAAAAGATTTTTTTTTTTTTCAAGTATGAGGGAAAGTATATGATTTGTATTTTTATTCATACAAGAAATTAGAAATTCTTAGATATAAATTAATGTATTATACTACTTACTATTATCTTAATTCGTTATCAATCACTGACTGAAATGTAAAAAAAAAAAAAATTCCAAGGGAAAACATTTTTCAAATATCCCCCGGTGGTACCGGTGGCTAGCGAGCGTGTGGGAAAACAATAATAAAATGAAAAACGTGTAAAACCAGAAATAAAAAAAAAATAATAATAATAATAATAATAATAATAATAATAATAATAATAATAATAATAATACGACGCATAGACAGAAATCGAGGTGTGCGACGGAAATGAAAATTAATAATAACGGTTAGCGCGTACCCGCTATCGGGGGAATGGGTGGGAAAGACGAGTCATTATGAGTGAGAAAGTAGAACGGTAAAAGTACGGTTGAAAAACCGCGGAAGCGCAGTCTAATTTTGTGCGCAAGTTCGGTGCGCCAACCAACACCCCCTTGGCCAGCGGCGGCGGTGTTGGCGTTTCTCGCGGACGGTCCCGCGTGTGCGCGTGTCAGACTCCGTCGCGGCAAGCCGGTGCGCACAGTCCGGTCCGGTGTATGTTTTATTCGCGTGTCATCTTCGTGCGCGCGCGCGTGTGTGTGTGTGTCTGTGAGTACGCGTGATTTTTTACGTGCGACGTTTGTGTGTGTGCTGTGTTCGTGCTCGCGTGTGCGTTTCGTGGGTACAAGTGGTTCGTTTTACATTTTTTTGATATTTTCCATTATTTTTTTCTCACCCCTTCCCGCGAATCGGCTAGAACGGATTTTTTCTCGACAGCAAAATGCCTTGCCCCGGTCCGTGGAGGCACTCTACCGCGGTCCCGGTCCAGCGGACGACCATTTGACCAGTTCCGCTTTCGGTAACCGATCGCAACGGTTATACTGCAACAATAGCTACACGTCCGCGGTATCGTTTGTTACCGCGGTACACGATATCGCCGTGCTGTAACGTCGTCGGCGTTCTCGTCTCCCTGCCGGACATCACGGTCCGCGTTCGCATCCGCAACCGTCATCGACACGATGTGCGCCAAACCTTCGACCGCCGGACGGACACTCGTCGGCTGCGCTCTGTTACTTTTGGCCCCAGGTAAGAACAATTGCATGCACTAAGATTACCCTCCGTTCAGCTATTGTTAGAGCTTGTCGCGATATTTTTACGATTGCTGTGATTCATCGTACCCGTCGTTGTAAGTCGCGTCATCGTTACACGCGGCTATGTTTGCTCTTTGTATCTTGATCGAACGTTATGGACGTGTGCGAGAAAATTATGGAAACCAGCGCGTCGAAATCTGTAGGCAAAACCATAACTTGTAGGTATTACTACATAAGTATTACTTGTAGGTATTACTTACGTTAACTTGCTAACAGCTGACCGAATGTCACCTGCGTGTGTTTTATTATTTTTCCTTTTTTCCGGTAAAAAGGTGCCGGTGTACTAATCACGCCCATCGCCAGATGGATTCGATAGGAGATTGTTTTTTATTTCGACCGGACATGTTATTATTACACGTAAATGTCGTCACGGTCGTATCGAGACTCTTAGTGAATTTTCGGCTAAAATATTCTAAACATTATGCGTAGTACGTACAGTTTCTTCAATTACTTATATCGACTGAATATATACCCACGTTGCGAACGGAAAGGTTAACAGCAATTATAATATGTCAAATTGTTCACGTTTTACAAGGTTATACTCAACACACATAATCAATTTAGGTTTCGTACATTTATTAAATTCTCATTTAGGGATATTTCACTAAAATGATAACATGGACTTTGGATCAATGGCGTATTTGAGTTGAGGTTGGGGGGGGGGGGCTAAACAAATATTTTTTCAATACAAACATAAAAATAATTTACAGTTCATTATAAGGGCGTACTCAAGGAAGGTGGGGGTTTCGAGTCCGGTCTCCCCCCCATTGAAATTTCAACATAATCAATGGTTTAATAGTAAATAGTACATAGTGTATTTTAATTTCCCACTATCTTCAATATACAAAGTTTATAGATTATATAATATACCTATAATGTATAAACCATGTTTAATTTATACTGTTTTTTTAATATTATTTATTATTTTTAATTAAATAATGTATTTCTTTTAAAATTGTACAACCAAATAAAAATTGATTTCAAATTATAGTACCAACTTATTAGAGTAAACCTTTGTGAAAAATATGTGCGAAATGTGTATAACTATTGTGACTATTACTGTAATTATTAACAATAATTTATTGGTATTGAATTAAACTATAATTATAATTAAAGAACAGATGAAAAATAGAATAAAATAGAATATAAATAAAATCAAAATTTGGAACCCTCCCCCCCTAAAAAATTCCTGGGTACGCCTCTGGTTCATTACCTACAGCTCGTGTTCCTGTTGTTCATTCGAGTGAATAAGTAAAAATACAAGTACTAAATTGAATTAAATATTTATTTTATAAATATATTTAAAACCTACTGCATATAAAATAAAGGCTGCATCCGAATTGGGTCCTGAATTTAAAATTATTACACTCGTTGGGTCCCGAATTATTTTAAGTACTACACTAGTTAGGTCCCGAATTATTTTAGCTACTACAAGGTACTACGCTAGTTGGGTTCCGGATTTTTATAGGTACTACACTATTTGGGTCCCGGATTTTTATAAATATTACACTAGTTCCTGAATATTTTTTGGTAAGTACTATATTATAGTAACAATACTATCATTTTCCTTCCAATTTTAATAGACTTAGGACTGTCAATGATTTATTTAAACCACAGATATGTTTAAAAATATTTAAAAAAAATAAGATTTTCTTGGTTTTTTAGTTTTTTTTTTCATTCATTTTTATTTAAATTATATAATAATTTTAACATTTTTAATATTTTTCCCAATACAATTCTAATAATTTATATTTAATGAAAAAGAAACTATAAAAAATATTTTCAACCATACTTGTAGTCTTAATAAATCATAGACAGTCCTAAATCTGTTAAAATGGGAAGAAAAATGTTAGTATAATGTAGTACTTACCAAAAAATATTCAGGAACTAATGTAGTATTTATAAAAATCCGAAACCCAACTAGTACACTACCTGCGATTAGCTCCTATTACTCGGGACCTAACTCGGATGTTCCGAAAACAAGTATTAATAATAACACAAATAGTTCTTATATTAACATTGTGCTTTCAGTCTGAATCCTCTATAAAAAAAAAACAACAAATAATCATAGTAGTAATAGTACATATTAATTATTTTTTAAAAACTTTAAAAAACAATTAAGATAGGTAACTTAATTTAACAAATATCTAAGTAGAAAACATAAAGTTGTTAAGTAGTCAAATAACAAATTCCAAAATTCTTTATTTTCATTTTAACAAATTTGTTGATTTTTTCATCAATAGATACAATAATATTCTTATGCATATGCAGCAAAGCCAAACCTGTTAGTCTATGCTAGCCTATTCTTGATCTTAACCATGTTTTCAATTTACAAAAATATATTTTTGGCCAATATTTGCAAGTTAAAGAATATGGAATATGGGGCTTCTTGCTCTATAGAATACATAAATATGCATGCATTTGTGCACAAAAAATGACTAAATACCTATGCACAACAAAAAGTACCAGATATTTTGTTGTAAAAAAAAATAAAATAGGTGAGTAAAATTATTAAGGACTTATATAGCTCTAATAAATACAAAAATATACAATATGCATAAATGCACCAAAAAATAACTAGCTAGTAAATATGTTGTAAAAAAAGTGTTACTTTAATTTACTTTATATTATCTGATAAATACATTGGTTATGGTTATAAATGTCTATAACCGTAGCAATATCTGTAGAAGAAATATTCGTTCCACAGCCAAAAATGTTATGATTTATGAAGATAAACAAAAATTGATACCCGTGACCAAATTGACATATTATTGAATTTATTATCATATTATAATAATAGACTAGTAATTTATATTCCTAATTATTTATACATTACATTTTTTAGATAAATCAATGTATTATATTAAAAAAAAAAAGAGACATGGGGAGGACGAATGCCTCCATCGCCCCCCTCAAATATGCACTTGCTTTGAATAAACTATTTATATTCCTTTTTACTTTTGTACATTCGTCTATTTAACCTAAATATATACCGTTAACAGCTGTAGGCTGTAGTATCATAACAAATATGATTAAATATCAACAATTAAAATAATATTAAATCATATGATTCAATAAGGTTTTGATTGGTAATTCTAAGGTCGTAAATTTTTAGCATTAGTGTTAGGTTTAAGTTAGATGAATGTTTTTAGTGAAATAGTATCTAGGTCCATCATCACTCTATCGGAATACATTTTAAAATTTTAATTTTCTATAAAATATTATAATGACAGTTTGTAAGATTTATTCTACTAAAAATAAAATAATTCACCCCCATCCCCTGATTAAGTAATTATCAAAAACAATGTAATGTAATTTTTTATTAATATATAGTATTTCTTATTCGTGTTTATTCATTATTTCAAGTTTTATATTATCAAGATACCATAATAATTCATCTAAGACAAGATTATCGTGTATTCATTGTCACAGCTGTAATATTAAACCCACACAATATTTATTGTTAGCCATTAAACTAATAACTATAGTTCAGTGAAAAAGTTTTCCAAATTCTTTCTTTTTTTTTTTATAAAACATCATTCATTAGAAATAACAATTTTTATCATAAAAACTGTGTATGTAAATGTGTAAATGAATCATCATAAATAAAATATATAATATAAATGGATGGCATTATTATTATATTTATTATTATATTACTTATCTATTATTACTATTCATTTGCTGTAACAAAATAACTAATAATCTAATCTCCGATAGAGTTTATACACAAGAATTTATAGCTTTTTTAGATTAACTTGAGGTTTCCACACAACACTTTTTGATGATTTTTAGTACATAATTTTGAATAAAACATTTTACAGAACTGTGAAGTACATAAATAATAAAATCGATTTTAAGGATAACGTTGTTTTAAGTTACATTAAAAGTTTAATTTTAAAAATTTCATAAGTATCTAATATATATTAAGATATTATTTTTTTACCAACCCTCACTATAATAATATTAATTTTGAATATTTAAAATTTAATATGTAATCAAATTAAGTGTTATTCGTATAAATATTTATAGTTAAAAAAAAGTTAGTTAAAAATTTTGACATTTTATAAAAAATTTAAATCTTTGAATGATCAACCTTCAAGTGATTTCAATTATACTAGTGCGTAGCATTTCTAAATAGTTAAGGAGGAAAAAAGTATAATTATTGAAAGTAATATATTTTCTTTTATCATTACAAAAATTTAATACTTCAGATATTATATAGAATTTGATATGTATTGACTATTGATAATATTCATATTGTTAGAACAAAATTATATATTAATCAATATTTAAATGTCTGTTGATACATGATTTTAAAACTCTATAAAGAACAATGTATTGAATATTAGCGAAATAATTAATAATTTTTTAAAATTTTTGTTCAAAAAATCTATAACTATGAATGATGAAATTTTGCGTTTAAATTGAAGTATTGTAATAAATCGTATGAGGGTGAATGAAATATTCTATAATACATTTAAAAATATTTGTATACATTTTGACTTGATTTATTTTTACATTTTAAACATGACAATTTTTTAAGTTTCCATATTAATAAAAATTAATAACTTGTGATTACATTTTAATAAATATTTCTCTGATTTATTTTGAATTACTTTTGAAATAAAATCAAAGTAATTTCTTTTCATAAATTATCAATACGTCTTAAAATTGTTCTAGCTCTTAAATACAAAAATTATAAGTGCTATCTCATGTGTGTTATAAATATATTTTATTTGCGATCGTATTAATATATGTAACCGTCATATATAAATGGAGAAAGCATTTCGTAATGAAATCACATATCGATATAACAATCTTATATTTTGTACTTAAATATAAAATAAACAAAAGTTACATTTTATAAGAAAAATATAATTAAGCTTGAACAATAATGAATTAGGCTTTGATCGATTTTTTTTTTTTGTATAC